CTAGAAGACTCTTGTAAGGAACAGCCAGTTTATCGTCATGGGGTTGGATCTCCATTTGGGTAGGAAATTGATGGTTGTGAAGGTATTAATTCATTGTTGGTTTTAGGGATGGTTTGGGGATGGAAATTCAGAAGCTTTCAAGACGTTGTCCGCCACACCCAAATGTGACCCTGGGGAACTTTTTTGATCCTTTTCTGAGAGGAGGTAGTTAATTCAATGAGTGATGATGGAGGATAATTAAACAAAATAAAACAGAGCTAGAGAGAAGGGAGATCCCTGATGGAAACTGTGGTTTATTCGGTGAGAGACATCTGGTGGGAAGGGTGGGGTCAAAGGACGGTGGAAGGGAGAAGATGGGAAAGGATAAGAGTAGACTAAGATGAACTGATGGTTGAGATGCCACCAGTGCCTGCTTTGATGGCTTAAGTGGTTTCTTCTAAACATGGCTTACCAACCTCAACTTTGATGCAAATGATATAAAACAGATAATAATGTTTGACACAGGAAGTATAGCAACAGGAGTAAGAACAAAGGGCAGTCTTTACGAAACCTTGCCATTCACATGAGTCCATCCAGATCTAAATAGCTCTCTCCTTCTTCTACACATGTGTTACTAGACATTTAAGAAGAGCAACCACGAAGAGCAACCACATGCCATAAATTACAACTTATGGCAACCCTTTCCAGGGTTTTTAAGGTAGAGAATACTCAGAAGTGGTATATCCTTCCCTTCTTTATTTTGGAAACAAAAGGATGGCATTCTTTTTAGATGCTAAGCACTAGGCAATTTTAAGGAAGTTCTCTTTCCGTCTCCAAATCGTTTCTAGATTGAGTTGTGAGTCTACTGACAATGCCTGAATGGTGTGCTTGAAATGTTTTCTTCTTTCTTTTTCAGAACTTTTTAAAAACCCTGCAAGATGTCTTACCAGTGCAAGCAACCTTGCCTGCCCCCTCCCACCTGTGTGAAGAGCACCACAGTATGTGCCGGATCCAGAGGCCCCACCGTCTGCGTGACTCCCCCTCAAACTGATCCATGCGGCTCCTCATCCACCACTATCTGTGCCACTCCCAGCGGAGCTGTGTGCGTGACCCCAGGACAGCCCCAGTACGGGGTCGGCCAGTATGGCTCCCCCACCATGACGCCACACCAATCCCAGTGTGTCACCGTCTGCCAGGATAGTTCTGGTTCTGTTTGTGCAACTCCCCTCCAGAACCAAAGCCGAGGTTCCTGCGCTACAGTGTGTGCCACTTCTGGTGGCCCATGTGCCACCGTCTGCCAGGACCCATTCGGTCTGTGAACTTTTTAAAAACCCTGCAAGATGTCTTACCAGTGCAAGCAACCTTGCCTGCCCCCTCCCACCTGTGTGAAGAGCACCACGGTGTGTGCCGGATCCAGAGGCCCCACCGTCTGCGTGACTCCCCCTCAAACTGATCCATGCGGCTCCTCATCCACCACTATCTGTGCCACTCCCAGCGGAGCTGTGTGCGTGACCCCAGGACAGCCCCAGTACGGGGTCGGCCAGTATGGCTCCACCACCATGACGCCACACCAATCCCAGTGTGTCACCGTCTGCCAGGATAGTTCTGGTTCTGTTTGTGCAACTCCCCTCCAGAACCAAAGCCGAGGTTCCTGCGCTACAGTGTGTGCCACTTCTGGTGGCCCATGTGCCACCGTCTGCCAGGACCCATACGGTTCGGTCTGTGTCACCCCACAGCGGCCCCAGTGCACTACGGTTTGCCAGGATCCTTGCGGTGGTGTCTGTGTGACACCTGTGTCGCACCAAAGCAGTGGCCCCTGCACTACTGTCTGTGCAAATCCCGGTGGCTCGGTCTGCGTGACACAAGGTCAGGCCCAGTGTGCAACTGTTTGCCATGATCGGTATGGCTCGGTCTGCGTCACTCCGCTCCAGTCTCGAGGCACGACCGTTTGCCGAGATCCTTGTGGCAACGCCTCTGTCACATCCAACCAAAGTGGAAGCATCTGTGCAAACCCTGGAGATTCTGTTTTTGTGGACCCTATCCCTGCACCTTCATGCGCCACTGTGTACTCAGCTCCGGGCAGCTGTACGACCGTCTGCCAGGACGAGTGTGGCTCCCTCAGCTTCACTCAGGGCGCTTGTAAAAGCATCCGTGGACCCACCGTCTGCACCGATCCCTGTGGGGCTGTGAAAGCCGTGAAGACCGGGGCCACCAAATGTGGGACCCCCTGCGTCACAGTTAGCACCAATCAAGGCTACATGAGCGCACGTCCTTCCATCAGCCTGGAA